ACGCAATAGAGCTTGTAGACAATGGTACTGTAGGGAATTATTTTTGTGTGCAAACGTACGTTTGTCTCTTAATTTTTATTTATGCGCGATAGAACTTGTTGACAAACGTACTGTAGGCAATAATATTATGTGCGCAATGTGGCTTGTGCGCAATAGTTTGGTGTATGCAAACGTACGTCCGTCTCTTAATTTTTCATTTGTGCACAATAGAACTTATAAGCAATCTTACTGTAGGCAATAATTTTTTTATGCAAACATGCATTCGTCTCTTAATTTTTATTTGTGCACAATAGAACTTGTAAGTAATCTTACTGTAGGCAATAATATTATATGTGCAATGTGATTTGTGCACAAGTGTCGTGTGTGCAAATAAGCGTTCGGCTTTTAATTTTTTATTTGTGCGTAATACAACTTATAGGTAATTGTTCTGTAGGCAATAATTTTGTGTGCAAATGAAATGTGGATAAGTTGAATGTCAGCAATCGATACTGTAGGCAATTAATTTGTAGGCAATCGGGACTTTCCCGTCCCACCATACAGAAAAAAAAACTTTGCGAGGGTGTAAACCAGGTTTTGCAACTCGTACTGCTGGATTTTCTTTTTCTGTCTAAGTTCGTTTCCTTTGGGGATTTTCGTACATGATCCACTTTTTATCTCCAGTTACTACACGTTTCAGAAAGAGTTCCGTTTCATTACGTGCAAGCAATGATATGCACGTTGCCACGCGATCAAGGCGATTACGCTCCGTGAGTTGATGCGCCCATATGTCCAGCTTTGGCATCATTTCCTTTAAATGTCTATGTACACACGATTTTGACATGTTTAACATTTGCGACATTTCTCGCACTGACAAACTCCTCGTTTCGTTCACCATATTACGAATTCTGTCTTCGTCCGCCTCGACTGGACGTCCGGCACGTGGCTCATCTTCCAGATTAAAATTTCCCTTTCGAAATCGATCAAACCACTTTCTGCATGTACGAGCCAATAAAGCACCTTCCCCATAAACGACACAAATGTTATTTGCTGCACTTGTTGCCGTATTTCCTTTTCGGACAGTGAGATGACGAAAATGGACATGTATTTCACTCATTATTTTATCGGGTATTAAATATAAAATTCTTATAACTTCACGACCTATGGCTCTCGAATGCCTTCTACTTAAACTGAAGTATAAAAGTCATCCAAGTCCTTGTAGCGCTCTGTGATTATAACACGTAACGCGAGAAGTATAAACACACCGCGGCACGAACTTATGGGACGACCTAATAATTGTTGAAATAAGACTATAAGATCTCAAACGATGTAGAAAGAAAAAGAAAAGTCCTCTAGAGCGATTTTTGTGGAAAATACACTTTAAAAATCATATTGATAACGCAGACAGCTTAATACAAAGGTACTCCAATGTTTAACGATTCAGGGGCATAGGTTCTCGTTATTCGATCGAGCAAAAGTTTGGTAGGGATTTCTTTTTTGTCAAATGGAAACTTTTTGGAGGGTGCTACAAAAAAAATTCGAAAAAAAATTTTGACCAAGAGTAAATAAGGACCATCTTAGTACACATATATTTTTTCTTTTCATATAAACAGAAAATTATTTGCAATTTCATATAACTGTTATTTTTCTCTGACATACAATCCTGTTCTTATGCAATGTTATATATGTCAAATTTGAAATCGGCGCCAAAATGTCGCCAGACAATAGCCGAACCCCCGTCCCACTAGTGTCGATCTCCTCACCCACAAGTTGACTTAACGCTTCGTCCAGATATTTATACGTCTATGGATTGTATAATGCGATTCATTGCGCTCGCACGTGTGTCCCCATCACGTCATACGGGACAGCGTGATAGCACTATGCGGACACGGTATGAGACGCACGCGTGTGGACAATATGAGCTCGCACGAATTGTTATCTGGGCTATAATATACTTAGCAAATATACGCGAATGGAAGTTGATTCGGAGGTACACGTTTATTAGCTTGACATCTCCCTGGAACTCTACTATCTATTATTGAGATAATTACACCACAGCACCTTAGTACGTGCGATGGAGTGACCAATCTTATAACAAGTTATTGACTAATACCTTCGGTCTTCCAGGGAGAAGTTTTCTTTATCTTAATGACTATTTGTATTTATTTGCGTTGGTGCTTCCGATTCCCGTAAGCAAAATTTGTAGCGACAACTTTTGTAACAACAACCTTTGTTATACCGATTATTGCGACCTTATGTTTGTGATATTTAAATATAATTCGTTGTTTTTTTATTTGTAATCACTGAAGATGGTCTACGAAGTTAGATCGAAACGCGTTTGATTGTTTGATGATTAATAAATTTCTTCTCATTGTGAGATTGGATCATTTTTTTTTTTTTTTTTTTAATAGTTATAATAGCACTATTAGACCTGTGCTTTAACTCTTATTGTCCTTTACATTTAATATTGATAATATTCAAGAAGAGTTTTTTATTTCTTTTAGTTTCTCAAATATTGTTGCAAAAAATTGTACTTTTTGTTCAATATATATTCAACATTGCAGCAATATCAATATAATACAATGTTGAAAAATCAACATAAATTTCATGTAGAAAAAACATCCACATTTCCATTTTCAACGTTGCAACGTCTCATCAAGGTTTTTTCAACGTTCTGTGCTGTATGGGAATTATATCACAATCCATTTTATTTAAATTAAATATATTATAATCTCTAATTTGCTATATCCTTTTTTTATTGTAAAAAAACAGTTAAATTTTTATTTCTTTAATTTTTGTAATTGCCAAATAATATCCAATTATCGGGTAACAATAAATGTCAGATTATCCGGTATCCGGCTATCTGACAAATTCACTATTCGGCACATCCCTAACTGATATATAGTAATTTACAATAATGCAATTTTTAAGGTAAAAGTTTTGTAAAGTGCAGATAACTTTTAAATGAATATCTTAAAACGCTTAAACTATATACTCTTTACGTTAAGAAATCCTATTAGAAATTTTGGGGAAAGATTATTATATCAATCAACTATTTTTTTGTTTAGATTAACCGTTATAATATTCCATTAAAAGTTGTAGACGAGAAGTTTATTTCGGTGATCACAAATACAATATTTCACACAATGACTTGACCTGATTGCTATACGAATCTCAACGAGCTGTCAAACTCCTGCTTTTTACGATGGCTCATGGGACACTGCCGATTGCGACCCACTAGTCTTTTTTTTCTAGCAAGGCCTAATTTCTGTTTGGTCAGACAGACCTAATTCCACATGCCAATCGTCAGCTCACACACATCTAAAACTTGCCGCGCAGCGGGCCAAGAAAGTGACGGTCGCAACCAGTCGCGACTCCAAGCTTAAAGGCACGACGTCACTTTCTGAAACCGCCGCGCAAGAAGGAGATAAAAGACATAGCTTCCGAGAAACGGCCGAAATTGGCAAACTGTTCCGAGACCTGTTATAGATTTTCAACGTTATCAGTAATTTTAAAACAACATATAAATATTCATCGCATATCGAATATTGTTGCATTGTTTTATATTGCATTGTTTTATATTGCATTGTTTTATGTTGCATTGTTTTATATTGTTTTAATAATTATCAATAAATATGTCTTAATGTTTTGTAATGATATATTATACAAGTCATAAGAACATTGTCGGAGTTGGGATCGACGCATTCCGTTCGATCGTTAGATTAAGTAACGCTTTAATCACGGTACATAGATGGGTGACTGGCGCCGCTTGGAATCGAAGCTACCGAAAGTGAGGATAGGCAAAAAATTTTAGAGTGTGCATATGACCAATCTTCAATTCCCAGCTGTCTCGAGACACGAAAAAATTAGGAATAATTTTTTTATATGCCAGCTGTATAACATTTTATATCGATGGATAATTAATATCGAATGAGATCGAAACTATGACCACCAGACGATTGAATCGATATAAAAATCGATTTCGGATTGATCTCGCCATTTTAACATCATATCGATATCTTTTTAATCATTTATTCCTCACTAGATAGACGTCACTCTGCTACTGTTTTACGTATGTTATTGTGAGATTTTAAGTAATGTTTAATTGACATTATTACTAACGTCTTTGGTCTGTGACTTAGGACCGTCAAATATACGTCATTTTCAGGTTAACTTTAGAGATAAATGACGTAAATTTCGACATAAAAATTACGTAATTATGAGAACTGTCTGCTATCTAGAATCTTTTTATAGTTATATAATATATAATATTTTTTTTATTAACCCCTTAATAAACAATCATATATAAAACTTATATACAAAACTATAATATATTAACTATCTGATATACAATGGAATTCAAAATTTTTTATTATTTCTTATACAAAATAATGTTTATCTTTATTCCAAAGTTCCACTAGTATTTGAGATACGTCTAGATTGGGAAATCTTTCTATCCACGATTGAATAAGTCCTGTAAACGATGATTCGTAATTCTTTAGTATCACATGATTCGGATCGAAATCTGAAACAGACAGTAGAAATGTTAGCAAGAGAAAAATGTGTATAATGAAATAAAAAGATAATGCAAATATTGCCTCCCCCCCTCTCTCTCTCTCTCTCTCTCTCTCCCTCTCTCTCCCTTACTATATTTAATTCCAATTTTAGTCAAATTTAATCTTTCGTGCGATTGCTGCTCTTTATTAGAAATAAATCGCTATATCTCTAATATTTAGCTATTAAATATTAATTTAATATCAATATTTTGACACTTTCTGTAATTTCAACTGCAAATTTGACAAAAATTTTATAGATAAAAAGGAATGCGACAGAAGTATTAAATGACCTGTATCTTCGATTTTTTCAAGATCTCACATTTTTACGGTACTATTTTGTACATTTTATTAATGTTTTTGCAAAATATCTTTATTTTTCTTAAAGTTTATTTATATAAGTCTTTTTTGAGTAATTATATACATTTTTGTAAAAAACACTATTGAAATATTCTATGTCTATCAAACTAGAAAGACATACTTGACTTTTTTTTACAAATATAATTATCCTTATAAACATCATATATAATATAGATATTAGGGTGGTCCTTATTTACTCTTGAAAAACATGATATCTTTCATGTTTTTATTAATAAAGAAACTTTTTTAATTAAATATTACATAATAATTAATAATCTCGTGGCTCCTAATCTTATACTGGGAGGAGACCATGTACAGGGTGATACATCAACATACAGCTCAGTATGACGGGTTACCAGTTGCTAGGGATGTCGGTAATATCATCAATGTCGATAATAGCAGGCATGTCGGTATAGTCATTCGCGCCGCTATCAAACAAAGTAGTGCACTAGTCACGCTGTCAACGGGTTCGCATAATAAGATTAAAAACATAATATTTATAAAATATTTTGAAATGTAAACATGAAAAAGTAAGACTTAAGTTGAACAGTCATTCACAAGGGGAGGACCAAGTGACTCACCCTGGGATTTCGACCCCAATTTTTTTAATTATTCTGGAGATAAAAAAAAAGATACTTGTCCCGGCGTTTGATCGAATCGGTTTTGGTTTCGGAGTAATAAATTTGTGAAAATTGGCCATATCCGAAGCGCACCGCGACGCGCCATATGAGCCTTCCCGGTAACTGTACTTCCAACCAGTGCAGTTGGCTTCGTAAGTTAGGTGCTTGCTTCATAATTCGTAAGATGCAAGTTTGCTCCCGGAGCTGAGCAATATTTTTTTTTTTAATGAGTGTTTTTATTTATTTGACGATATTGATTTTGACGATATTGATATAGTATGCAAATTTAATATTTATTTATTTATTTATTTATTATTATTATTTATATTATTACTTTATTTTATTTATTTATTTATTTATTTATTATTTCAAATATTATTACTTGAATTAAAATTCCCTTAAAATTAAATTTAAATTAATGTTTAGAATGAGATATATTAAATTAAATTTTCTATTTCAAAAATTTGCATACTATATCAATATCATCAAAATAAATAAAAATAAATAAAAACATTCATTAAAAAAAAATTATTGCTCACCTCCAGGAGCGAACTTGGATCTTACGAATTATGAAGTACGCACCTAACTCACGAAGCCAACTGTACTGGTTGGAAGTACAGTTGCCGGGAAAGCTCATATGGCGCGCCGCGGTGCGCTTCGGATATGGCCAATTTTCACAAATTTATTACTCCGAAACTAAGGCCTATTCGATCAAACGCCGGGACACGTATCGTTTTTTTCATCTCCAGAATAATTAAAAAAATTGGAGTTGAAATCCCAGTTACCTGGTCCTCCCCTTGTCAGTCTCGGAGTCGATGAACGACATACGCATTGTCACAACGCGTGTATATGTCTAAGTTGATTCTAGGTTTGATTCTAAGTTCGATACAAGAATTTGCAGAATTAATTTAAAAGCGCAATTTCGACACGTAGATACTATCTAGAAATGTTAAATAATTTATCTGAAGTATCGACCTTGTAATACTCGGGTTCTAGAAGCCTCGCAAATTGAAGCTTCTAGAATCCGAGACACAATCATGCTCCATGAAGAAAAAGGGTAAACCGCGTTAACAAGACAGTGATTATTGCTGGTCACACGTTGCCGTCGTGCACAGCGTTTTCTAGCGGTTACTGGCCGATTCGATCCTTGTTGAAAAGCAATTGGTTCCTTACGCCTGACGGAACACCGAGATTTTCGAGAGCGAATATTCGGTCGGCGTGCGAGAGCGACAGAGAATCGATTAGCTACGTGAGGATAAAGTCAATGCGCACTGCACGAGCAAACTGCCTCGTAATGAGTTCCTTGTACGGCAATTACAATAAACTACAATTGTTACGGCAATTACAATAAACTGTCGTAAATCTTCTAAAGAGCCTACTAAATTGAACATCCGACTCCGGTCTCGCCGGTCAGGTGCACTGAGCGTTTCTGTTTTTTTTGTGATCCACTCGCGCTATGTAGGTGTGTATTCATTAACATTTTATTCTGCAGAATATTTAGTTAAATTAAATTCTACAAAAAAAGAAATGTGAATATTTTAATAATAATGATAATATATTAGGACCTTAACTTAGTTTCCGCCCGCAAATGTTAGATGGCAATGCAAACAGTTCTAGTAGTCATTACTAACGAAACAGATAGTTTGTGATTAATTTCGACATTTCTCGATAACATTCA